TATATATCATAAAGAAATTTATAGATAATTATTTTAAGATAATTATTTTCATATGAAATATAAAAAAAGTTTATTTCCGCTATATTTGCCATATCTTGTTTAATTTAACTTGTACTAAAATAACTCAAATGAAAACTGAAATAAAAAACAGAAAATATAGAGACATTTAAAAACAACCTAATTGTTTTACTTGCAATAACGTAAACTTTGAAATAAAATAAAATATTAAAAAAAAAACTTTTGTACTAAAATAAATCAAACTAAGACTTAAATAAAAAGTAATAAAAAATACAGATACATTAAAAAAGTAACAAACTTTAACTGAAATAAAATAAAATATAAAAAAAATAAATCTATAATTTAAGTCAAAAAAACAAAAACTAATTAAAACTGAAATAATTTTTTTAAAATATGCAGACTTAAAAAAAATAAAAATGACAAAACACAACAAAATGACTAAAAATGTAACTAAAATTACAACGAATTCAAAATATTAGTTACAATTTTCAATAAAGTTTGTTAACATTGCTTAACTATATTAGTTAACATGAACAATACGTATACATATCCGTATATATTTATTCATATTAGTTCATGTTAATCTCAACAAATTTCTAATACATTATTAAAATCAAGTTGTAACCGTTAATATGAATGTACTGTGAACTAACATTAAAAAGGTTAATAAATGCTGTAAAAATATACTGTTCAATGTTAGTTGATGCATTACCTAATGTTAACAAATGAGACCTTATTGTAAAGTGTTACCAAAATATTGATTGAAAACTATAAAAACAATAAAACTATTAAGTGATCGATTTTACAATACAAAAACAGTGTTTTTCCCACTGCTGTTTGCATGTGTTTAAACACTATGAAATATCAGAGCTTGCCTTCAATATATATCAGTAAAACAGCCTCGTTAATTATCATCAGTGGATTAATACACACACAAATATAATTCATCAGCAATAAAACCTCAAACACAACATCAAAAGGCGACATCAAAATCTCTGGAGAAAAGAGCGAAACAACAATGTCTGCAAAAGCAAAGCACTGAATGACAACACATGGTGAAGGAGAAAACACGAGGCGTGACGGAGGAGAAGAGCTGCAGGTGAGCGGACAGATGCGCGAGAAGATCCACATTCACATCAGCAACATCTGGACATATCACACACACTCTCTCTCACACACACACACACACACACACACACTCTCTCTCACACACACACACACACACACACACACTCTCACTACACTCACTCTCCCTCACTCACTCACACACTCACTCTCCCTTTCTCTCTCACACACACACTCTCTCTCTCTCTCTCTCACACACACACACTCTCTCTCTCTCTCACACACACTCTCACACACACACGTGCACACTCTCTCACACGCACACTCTCTCTCACACACACTCTCTTTCACACACACTCTCTCTCACACACACTCTCTCTCTCACACACATACACACCTGCAGCAGACGCCGCGCAAAATATCAACACCATCATTCTGCAGAAATAAGCTGACCTAAACTTCACTCAAATGTGCAATACAATCCTGATCTGAACAGCACTTTTGGCTTATTTTCCAGTAAAAAAAAAAAAAACATTCAAAATACAAGAAATACTCATGCTCAATATACTGTATATTTATTCTGTATATTTAAATATTTAATATTCAAATGAATTTCATCATGCAAATTTATCATGTTTTTAAGCAATTTTAAGCAAAATTTACCCAAAAATTATGCCCACTAAGAAAAGTCATATTATAGTGAATTAAACCTAAAATAATACATTTTTTGTGACTAGAAATTAAATAAATGTTAACTGAAATAAATATATTTTATAAATATATATATATATTTTTTGTATATAAATTTTGTAACTTATTTAACTTATTTCAGCTTGTGCCCTTTAACTTGACGTCCTAAAATAACTAAAACTGATATAAAAATTAATAAAAACTTATTTAAAAAAAGCTATAATAAATAAAAATGACAAACACACACAGGAAAATTTAAATAAAAATAAATATAGAATATACAACAACAAAATCTCATTTGAAATATTATTTAAAAAATCTTAATGATACTAAAATAACACACCAGAAGCACAATAATTAATTATTGATACTATTGAACTTTTAGTACTTTCTCCTTATTTATAAATCATAATTTTGATAATTTCTAACATATCTTCATTGATGGTCACTGTAAGAGCCATAAGTTACTAATTTATTGATATAGATTCAGATTCAATAATTGTGAATTTAATAAAGTTGAAATTAATATTTATATCTTTCTGAAAACTATGAAATTGAAGCTTCAATAAGCTTGGTTAATGAACGTGACGTCATTTCATGCGATGTTTTTGAAATGTGAGATTCGGAGTGAATTTTTGACCGTGTTACATTTTTGTTTCATAAGTAATTGTTTTTGTTAAAGGGGTCATCGGATGCCCATTTTCCACAAGTTGATATGATTCTTTAGGGTCTTAATGAAAAGTCTGTAACATACACCAGTCCAGTCTGTGCTGAAACACTGCTGTCAATCAAACTATCGTGGGAGGGGCCTGTCTGTGTGACGTCACGCAGACAGGCATCTGAGACCGGCTCGATTTGAGAAAGGGGGAAAGATTTAACCAGATTAAAAAAACCACTGGGTGGATCTTTATCATTATAGGGTGGTTGTGTACACACACTGCCAACACACATTTCAGTTCAAACAGCTTGTAAAAGTGCATGTAGCATCATATGACCCCTTTAATAAACATTCTTAAGAGAGGTCAGTGGAATATGGGCTGTTATTGGAGTGTGGGGTGTTTGTATTTACCGTGCTGGTTGCCTGCGCACTCATTCCTGGCATCCCGTTGGTCAGTTTGTCACGCGGCCTTTACACTCCCACAATGCACTTCGGCGGCTCTCGCTTCACTAACGGCCGCTAAAATACAGAGAATACAATAAACCATCTGAGGCATAATTCAACAATGAAAACATCACATTTCTGGACAATTAAGCACATTTCACCCAAATTCTCACTGAAAGATTTAAGATTCACCAAAACCATAAAGACATTATTTAGATGAAAGGTTCACTCACAGTTTCTGAATTAGGGAACGATCAGATCTGAGCGGCACAGTCTCCTGTTACAGCCTGTGAAACACACACAGATGTTAAAAAAGACACTTTTAAAAGCATTTAATGTTGCATGTTTTCTCAGACTTGAGGATGTTTGTCCTTATTTACAAATTATTTGCGTTATTTTTATCAATTCCAATATATCTTTATTCATGGACTTTGTACACTGTAAAAAAAAGTATTTTTCAAAGTATTATTATTTTATATGCACATGTAATATAATTTTTTTTAAACATATAAATAATAAATAAATATATATGTAATGTTTAATTATTTATATTCATATAACAGTGTTTAATATTTAATTAAATATCCTATTGAAAGGTTTGTTGAGATTTGCCACATTTTACATGAAAATAACATTTCAGTGTTCTAAAATTTCACATTTAATTAAAAGTGTTACTTTACATTTCTTTGAAATTAATTGTGAAATTTACTAGCAATTTCTGAGTGAACATTTCAGTTGTAGGAGCCAAAAGTCACTTATTTCTTAATTTTATGCTTTATTTAATTTAATTTAGGTTTTATTTAATAATTGTGAATTGGGGCATATCGGGAAAAAAATAAAAGCAAACATTACATTGTGAAATAATTTTCATGACAATTAAGCACAGTTAATTTCACCCAAGTTCTCATTATAGGACACTGAATATCCATCCTGGAAAAAACATATTTTTCAGCAAAATCGTTACTTAAAAGACTTATTGACAGCTCTGCCTGAAGTCAGTGGTTTCTCCACTAGAGGGAGATGCAGTAAAGCACTATGAAGTGTGCTCTATGAAGTGAACATCACGTCTCAAAGCACAAGAACTGATCACGTACAGTGTATCAGAAGAAAATGTGATAGAAGTGCTTCATCTCTTCTGAAACTCTAAAAACATACCAAATGATCAAAATAAAGTAATAATGATACTCTATAAAACAAAACTGAAAATGTAAGCAAAAAGTGAAAGTGTTAGATAAAAGACACCTAACGGAGCTGTGATGGAGAGTGAGAGGACGTGTGTTTGTGGCAGACGAGCATCTGAACCTTCTTTAACCTTTTGTTTACAGTGCATTTGGAAAGGAGCTCTCACACGCCACCGTATGACCCCGCCGGGCTCCTGTACCGCCAGCCGACGGCTCAACCACATATTACACACATCAGAATCAGATGCCATCGCTTACACGCTACACACGCAGCTTCTGCATGGAAAATCATTGTTTAGTCACAGCCGAAGTTCAATAAAACAATGAACCACAGTCATTTTACCATAAATCACTGCTGCTTTTAGGCACAAGGAGACCTCAAGTGTCTTACGCATATTAAAAATGTGTTTTGCTATAATATTACAGTATAAAGTCTTATGTGTATAATCTGTAATCCAACATTATGTGTATAATCTGTAATCCAACACATCAATATTTTGCAATCATCTGACTGAATGTGTTGATTCCAGAGAAAGCCGTCTGAAGGAAACGCAGAGACGAGCGGTCAGTCCTCAGAGAGTTACAGTGACCTCAGGAAATGCAGAAAGCCAAAAGACTCATTCCGGAACAGAGAGACGCCCACAGGGAGCAAAAGGTCGAGAGAGAGACGCACACACATCAGAACTGTGCTTTGCCTTTATAACGAGCCATGGAAACATTTCATTTTTCCTTACTACGGTGTTCTGAGTGTTTAAGGCTGTTGCTATGCAGTTGCTAGGGTGTTCTGATTGTTTGAGATTGTTGCTATGCAGTTGCTAGGGTGTTCTGATTGTTTTAGGCTGTTGCTATGCAGTTACTTGGATATTTTGATAATTTTAAGGCTGTTGCTATTCAGTTGCTAGGGTGTTCAGAATATTTTAGGTTGTTGCTATGCAGTTGCTAGGGTGTTCTGAGTTTTTTTAAGCTGTTGCTATGCAGTTACTAAGGTGTTCTGAGTGTTTTAGGCTGTTGCTATGCAGTTTCTTGGCTGTTTTGGGTGTTTTAGGCTGTTGCTATGCAGTTGCTATGGTGTTCTGAGTCTTTTAAGCTGTTGCTGTGCAGTTGCTAGGGTGTTCTGGGTGTTTTAGTTTATTGCAAAGCAGTTGCTAGGGTGATCCGAGTGTTTCAGGCTGTCGCTATGCAATTTTTACGGTGTAATAGTGTTTTTAGGCTGTTACTTTGCAGTTACTAAGGTATTTGAAGTGTTTTAGGCTGTTGCTATGCAGTTTCTAGGGTGTTCTGAGTGTTTTAGGCAGTTGCTATGCAGTTGCTAAGGTATTTGGGGTGTTTTAGGCTGTTGCTATGCAGTTGCTAAGGTATTTTGCGTGTTTTAGGCTGTTGCTATGCAGTTGCTAGGGTGTTCTGAGTCTTTTAAGCTGTTGCTATGCAGTAGCTAAGGTATTTGGGGTGTTTTAGGCTGTTGCTATGCAATTGTTAGGGTCTTCTGAGTTTTTTAGGTTGCTAGGGTCATCACAGCACTAGTGCTAGGTTATGGTTGAGTTAACTAGCAGCACTACAACTGTGAATTCAAGCCGAGCAGTCCTGATATCACGCTGAGTTTCTCTCAACCAATCAAACTCGGCGTGAGCGACAGATGAGGCTGGATAATGAGACGACAGCGGCTCCGTCTGAAACAGGTGCGAACGGATCGGTCCTTTCCAATCACATCCGCGATCATTTATGAGGTGAGATCTGATGATTGTTTCCTTCCAGGGACAAAAGACAAACGGGACAGAAATAAACACATGATGCTTCAGGAAATAAAAAACACTGAGTGAACAAACAAACAAATGCAAAGAACTCCAGGAAGACAGAAGAACGAAAGCTGATCAAGAAGTTAAATATGGGAAGAATCTGACGAACAACTCCACGTAATTAATCATGAAAACATGAATCTTGAGACAAGCGATAAAACGAAAAGAAAGATATGAGGAAAAGATAAAGAAAACATTTTTTATGAAATATAAATGTACAAAAATAGAGATTAAAAGAAAAATAAACTAATTAATTAATAAATAAATCAATTAAAAACATAAAAGTAAATGTAAAAAAAGATAAAAAAATAATACATATAAAATGAAGTAAATAAAGGAAAGATAAAGAAACATAATAAATAAAAAATGAAAAATAAATAAAAAGTAGAGATGAAAAGAAAAAAAAAAAAAAAAAATTTTTTTTAAAAATTAAAAAAATTTAAATAAAGAGAGAGACAAAAAGAAAAATAAAGAAAAATAATAATAATAAAGAAAAGAAAGAAAAGAAACAAGAACAAAAATAAATATACATGAAAACAAATGAATAAATTAAAAAGAAAAAGAACGAACGAAAAAGTGCATTTTTAGATGAAATATGTGTTTTGTTTGAATATGATATGTTTGTTTTTATTGTTGCTGATTTAATGGTTTAAGATACTGTTTGAATTTCTTTGTCAGGAACAATGCAAACGATTGAACGCTTGCTTTCAGTTCGGATTAAAGCACTTTGTCACCAAATAAAAGCACAGGAATCATAAAGGCTGCAGCACATTCAGCGCTCATGGGATCACATGGATTGCGGCTTTGATTCTTCCAGAGAAAGTTCGTGGTGTTGGACTGACGTGAACTTCCCAAGACAAGCATCGACTTGAGTCCGTTCTGAGAGACAGATCAGACTAATTTTGGTTTTGAATTCAAGTCGGTGCAACAAATCATTACATGGGAACAAAACAGCCAAACCCAACGTGACGTCACAAACAGACCCGACCTGGTGAGCGAGAAGTTTCTCCAACAACAGCAGATTTACTGGAAAGAGGAGCAGGACACGCCTCACAGGAGCTGTCCTGGAATATGGAGATGTGCTAAGACTTGATCTCTGAGACTGGAGACAGACTGAGCTGATGAAGGAGAGTCGAGGACGCATCGAACGAGGAGTTACTGACAGACGCTCGCCGCTGACGTCATCAACACAACAAAGACAACTAACAACCAGCAACAGGGTTAATATGCAAATCAGGCTGCGCTTAAAGAGTTAGTTCAGCCGTAACAGCTGCAGGAATGAAGGATTACAGAGGAATGAGAGAAAGAGAGAAAGAGAGAGAGAGAGAGAGAGAGAGAGAAACAAAGAAAAAATAAAAACAATTTTTATTAACAATAAAAATTATTTAAAAATAAATAAAAGATAGGAAAGATAAAGAAAAAGAAAAAATTAAAACAAAAAAATAAAAATGAATAAAAATAGATTTAAAAAAATAAAAAATAGGAAGTAAAAGCAAAAAAATACATTTAAAGGTAAAAATAAAAGAAAGAAAGATTAAAAATAAATATAAATACAAATGAAAATGTTAAAAAATGAATTAAATTAAAAGAAAGAAATGTAAAAAAATATATTAAAGGAGAGAGGTAGCACATGATGTGTGTTTACACAGATATCAGAACACACACACACTCACGCACACACACACACTCATGCACGCACACACACTCATGCACGCACACACACTAATGCACGCACACACACACACGATGTCTGGTTGCTCTGCAGCAACGCATGCTGGGATCAGTCTGATTTGTTACTTGAACTTCTGAACACACAAGTCCTGATGCAATATTTAATATTTGTCTCTGATGCATGCACAATTATGCTAATTAATGCATTGTGTAATGCAAGTCCTGTGTGTGTGTCTCATTAACAAACATTATAACATTACATCATTATTACTTCATATACATTACAGTAGTCATGAAACTGATGTACATATTTCATAAATATTCATATTTGATGTAAAATACATACTGTTGATCTGTTAAGCATTATAATGTTTTAGTGAAAGTCTGTGTGTGTCTGTACTCACTGTCGGCTCACGTGGAGTTTCTCGTTCTGCTGTTACTCTGTCCTCTTCAGAAACACACTGCTGAAACACACACAATCATAGAAAAGATGATCTTAAACTGATGAAGTGTCACTATAACACACACACAGATGACTAATGGACTCAGACGGCGCTGGACCTCAGAGCTGCTGGGAGATTTTCAGTCCCAGATGGGAGAAAAACAGACAGAAGACTTCAATCTGTCTTATCTGCTCCTACAATTACAACACGTCTCCATCTGAACACAACATTCTCACACACACACACACACACACACGCATGCACGCACACACACACTCATGCACACACACACACACGCACACACACACACGCACACACACACACACACACACATGCATGCACTCATGCACACACACACACTCATGCACACACACACACACACGCACTTATGCACGCACACACACTCATGCATGCGCACACACACACATGCACACACACACACGCACACGCTCAAAGACAAAAATATTAAAACAAATAAATAATAAATTGAAAAAATTTATAAAAGCTAAAGAAAAAGGAAAAAATGTTAAAATATAAAAGAAAAACTAAATATACAGCTACACAAAACAAAAAAAGAAAACATAATAAAAATAAGAAAATAAATTTTAAAAATATATATATAAAAAATCTATTTAAGTTAAAAATAAAAATAAATGGAATAAAAAATATTAAAAATACATGAAAAAAAATCAAATCAATTTATAAAAATTTTAAAAAGAAGGAAAATAAGAAATTACAAAAAAATAAATAAAAAGTAAAACATTTATAAAAATAAATGAATGAAAAGATAAAATGAAAAGAAAAATAAAGAAAAGAATGTATACAAATATTTTTAAATAAACAGTAAACATGGTGCATGTTAAACTTTCTAGTGTGCAAATGATTTTGAATTCTGAAAACGCCTCCCAACTGAATAACACTGGACACATACTAGCTAGCATATTACTTTTTACCATTTCGCACTACTATTTCTGTAGCATGCAATATGTATTGTGCATGTGACATTTCTGCATGCATGACCTTCTACACGCAATGCACATCCCAACGGTCATGAAACCGTATTGCATGTTTTCATAAATATTCATTGACACTGTAAATGACCCAGACGTGACCATCATGCGTGATTTTTTATATCCCTTCCTTGACTCATGATTCGAGAATTAAACTGGATTAAAAATGCTAATCAAGCGCATTTATTTAAGAGACCGGGACACGCCACGGCCGATCCCAGTGCACTGTGGGAAAGCACAGAAACAGTGATGACATGCATCACCATCATCAGTCAGTTTAGCGCATAAAAACCCCTCAAAATCCACAGTAAGCCAGCAGATATCCGACATAATGCAAAGTGGAGCAACAACCACGTATATCATGATGAGAATCATGGGAAAGTGTGCAGACAAAACCTGAATTATTGCAGCACATTCATAAGACAGAAGAACTTACTTACTGTACTGACACATTCAGATGCAGAGAGGGACGGAGTGACGCTAAACGCTGGTTAAACCTTTGTGTTTTCACATGGCTGCAGTGTTTGGGTTGGTTGCTGTGTGACCCTCACAAGGGGACGTGTGTGTGTGTGTGTGTGCGCGTGTGTGTGTGAGGGTGCGTGTGTGTGTGTGTGCGTGTGCGTGTGTGTGTGAGGGTGCGTGTGTGTGTGTGTGTGTGTGCGTGTGTGTGTGTGTGGGTGCGTGTGTGTGAGGGTGCGTGTGTGTGTGTGGGTGCGTGTGTGTGTGTGGGTGCGTGTGTGTGTGGGTGCGTGTGTGTGTGTGTGTGTGTGTGTGTGTGTGTGTGTGAGTGGGTGTGTGTGTGTGTGAGTGTGTGTGTGGGTGTGTGTGTGCGTGCGTGCGTGCGTGTGTGTGTGTGAGAGTGAGTGTGTGTGTGTGTGGGTGCGTGTGTGTGGGTGTGTGTGTGAGTGTGTGTGTGTGTGTGTGTGTGTGTGTGTGTGGGTGTGAGTGTGTGGGTGTGTGTGCGTGTGTGGTTTCTCTGCTTGATTGATCTCACAATATAAGTGTGTGAATGGGAATGTAAAACACTTTTAGCAGTATCTGACGAATTGTCACTTGATTAGCTCTTCTCACACATATATCTCGCGATGCAAATGAGGACAAACTCATTAGAATAACAACAGACTAACTTTAAAACCGAGAACGAAAGTGTGTGGGTGCGTGTGTGTGTGAGTGCGTGTGTGTGTGAGTGAGTGTGTGCGTGTGTGTGTGTGTGGGTGTGAGTGTGTGTGTGTGGTTTCTCTGCTTGATTGATCTCACAATATAAGTGTGTGAATGGGAATATAAAACACTTTTAGCAGTATCTGACGAATTGTCACTTGATTAGCTCTTCTCACACATATATCTCGCGATGCAAATGAGGACAAACTCATTAGAATAACAACAGACTAACTTTAAAACCGAGAACGAAACTTATCTGACATTTGAGTGCCACAGAACAGACTTTATTATCTGTGATTAATTCATATACAGTATAAAGAAGCAACACTTCACAATAATTATTATTTTTAATTTTTTTTTGCATGTGAAGCAAGTATTTAGCTTGTTTCTAGAAGTTGCTAACATCCTGCTAGCATTTTTGGCATGTTTTAGTGTGTTGGTAACAATTAGCATACTTTTAACATATTGCTAGCATGTTTTAGCTTGTAGCTAGCATGTTTTAACACAGAGTTAGCATGATTTAACATGCTTCTAGCGTGTCATTAACATGTTTCTAGACGTTGCTAGCATGTTTTAACACATTGCTACCATGTGAAACAACCATAGCATGTTTCTAGAAGTTAGTATGTTGGTAACAATTAGCATGCTTTTAACATATTGCTAACATGTTTTAGCTTGTTGCTCACATGTTTTAACACAGAGTTAGCATGATTTAGCATTCTGCTAGCATGTTTTAGCATCTTTAACATGTTTCTAGACGTTGATAACACATTGCTAGCATGTGAAGCAAGCATTTAGCTTGTTTCTAGAAGTTGCTAACACCTTGCTAGCATTTTTGACATTAAAATATAATTAATTTAATTTTTTCATGTGAAGCAAGTATTTAGCTTGTTTCTAGAAGTGGCATGTTTTAGTATGTTGGTAACAATTAGCATGCTTTTAACATATTGCTAGCATGTTTTAGCTTGTTGCTAGCATGTTTAAAATGTTTCTAGACGTTGCTAGTATGGTTTAACACATTGCTAGCATGTGAAGCAAACATTTACCTTGTTTCTAGAAGTGGCATGTTTTAGTATGTTGGTAACAATTAGCATGCTTTTAACATATTGCTAGCATGTTTTAGCTTGTTGCTAGCATGTTTAAAATGTTTCTAGACGTTGCTAGTATGGTTTAACACATTGCTAGCATGTGAAGCAAACATTTACCTTGTTTCTAGAAGTGGCATGTTTTAGTATGTTGGTAACAATTAGCATGCTTTTAACATGTTACTAGCATGTTCGCTAGGTTAGCAGGTAAGCCATCCTGCACCAGACAGATTTCCGTCCAATCAAACGCCGTCTAGAATGAGAAAGCCCCTCCCCCTGATGCAGCAGAATACATGTTCATGGCTGTAACAAACTAAAGCCTGCTGACTATTAAAGAAAGGAAGGAGCCCTTCGAAGCATCCTGACAATCTGGTCTCTAATGGTCATGAAAAATGTCACAATGCAAAAAACGACAATGGTCCTAAAAATAGGCTTGATTAGCTGTTCTTCATTTTATTTTGGGGAGAAATATGCCATTGTTTCATTCGTTCTCCCGGCTTCAGTCACCCTGAAATCTCGAATGTCAGTCACGGTCTGTTTGTCCTGAAGCGTGTGTTACATCATGCGTCCAACAGATGAAAACATGTGCAAAGTTCTGTGTGACAGCGTTCTGTGGCATGTGGGTGAAAGGCATGCTGGGAATAGGGCGTGTGTGGGTGGGGCGTTCAACTCAAGCAGGCCGTCAGCCAGACACACACACACCTTCTTCTCCTGCAGGGCATGTGTGTGTGTGTGTGTGTTTGGGTGCGGCTGTTTTAAATATCGCTCAGTAAAGTTTTAAGAGGTGAAGGGCTCACGGTTACAAAACACACTCTTCCTCTGCTGCCAAATACACCTCAGTCCCACACAATTCCTCATAAAGGTGGTGCAATATACAATAATCTCAAAGTCAGGTCAAACAGGCTTTAAGATAAAAGAAACCTGGTTTATTATTACCACCCGAACACTGATAAATGCATTCAGATGCTCAATAACCAAACTGTCCTGCTGTACTGTTATGTTTCATATATGTAGGAGGCTTTTCAACCTGCAAACCTGATCTGACTGACAGCATGACTGAATGTAAAAAAATGTAATAAAATAAAATAAAAAATACACTTTATCTCTGATCGGTCAGGTGGTGCTGGGGACACAAAGATGATAAAATAGAAAAAAATATATCAAATAATAACATTAAACAAAGTATAAATTAAAAAATTTAATAAAATACACCTTATCTGTGATTGGTCAGATGGTGCTGTGAACACAAGGATGACAAAACATAAAATAATAATATAAAACAAAATACAAATTAAAAAAATAAAATAAAATACACCTTATCTGTCATCGGTCAGCTGGTGCTGAGGACACAAAGATGATAAAATATAAAATATATATAAAATAATAACATGAACCAAAATAAAAATAAAAAAAGTAAAAATTTATAAATAAATTTAAAAAAAAATTTAAATTTAAAAATTAATTTTTTTTTAAAATAAATAAACAATAAATAAAAATAAATAAATAAAATAAACCTTATCTGTGATGGATTAGTCAGGTGGTGCTACAGAAACAAAGGTTTGATGGTCTGAATGTTTTCCATCTAGTAAACTGCCTTCAGGGTTAAATATCAGAGTTAGGCTTTTTCTTTCAGAGCTGCTTGTGTCTTTGTAGAACTCAACAATAAAACTAACTATTCTAGATGAACTTATTGAGCTGCCTACGGAGTAACATTAAATAAGCATGTAAGTTGTGGATGATGCACACACATGCCGTCTACAGAGGATCT